CAGCCACACACACACACACACACACACACACACACACACACACTGCAGTTAACAGGCTCTGACTCCAGCTGGGCAGCAAACCTGCAGACTGTCAGGCTGGAAAACACGAGTAATCTCTACAAGAAGTCGCTCATAAAATTCATTTAACAGAATAATAACTCTTAACATTTACTGACACGTCTATAAATGTAACATTGATCACTTCCAACTTCCTGGATTAGGGTCAGGCTAAGAATACAGCGGAAAATATATAGTTACAATATTACTAGAATAAAGTGGCAATATGAAAATAATATTTAAATTTATGAGAACATAGTTGTAATATTAGTAGAATATAAGAATAAAGTGATAATAGTACCTGATTAAATTCCTATTAAATAGAGAATTAATTTGTAAAAATGTGAGATTTAAGTGGTAATAAGAGAATAAGAATGCAATACAAGAATAGAATAAAGTTTTAATATTACCAGAATAAAGTCAAAGTAATATGAGCATAAAGTGATCATTTTCTGAGAATTGACCCCAATATAAAAACGAGTAAAATATCCAGGTGATCAGGATACATGTAAACTTGAGAAAACTTAACACATTGTAGTTCATTTTTAAAGGAAATGCAGAATTACTTATAGTTTCTAAAACTAATTCTGCTTCAGGATGAACTTTTGCTTCATCCTGAATATGTGCAGTCTTACCTTGGCTTTAAGCATCCCGAAGCCCACCGTCTCCTTGGCGTACATACACAGGAGCAGGTTGGCGACACGCGTGATGGCCACCCTTCCTTCCTGAGGCACACGGACACAGAAAAAAACAGCTTAAATCTATTCATCCTCACTTTTTCCCTTCGCATCCCAGTTGTGTTTCTCACCATGCAGTCCATGAGGATGAATTTCAGCTTGTCTTCATTAAAGGCTTGATGGCCGTTCTTGTCGTAGGCGGCCCAGATGTTGCTGGCGATGGCCGCCGTGACGCGGGCGTCGGTGTCTCCATAACCGGAGTAAGCCAGAAGAGAACCCTCGTTGTTGAGTAAACTGTGGGAAAGCGGAGACATTTAAGTTTTAATTGCATTCTATGAGGTAAACAAACAACCGTGATAATTTATTTTAACATATAATAGTGTGCAACATGTTGCACCAAGATTTTTGTGATATAAATAGTGATTATTTTAGTAATTACTCGGACCGTTAGCTGGATACAAATTGGCACATTCTGTAGATTTTCATTTAACACACTATAAGATACATTTCAAACAATGCAAATAATTAGTTACATTCATTCTTCTAAATAATACTTTGTTGCCTAAAATGCAGTAAACTCATTTAATGAACGCTTGATGACTGGCAACAAAGAATGCATTTACACAAAATACAAAAAACATACATTCAATAGGTATAAAGTGATTATATTAATAATAACTACATATTAAATTACAGTACTTCGACTTATTCATAATCTAACAGTCAAATTGTAGCATGAATGTCATTTTAAAGTAAAGACATGATGCTGCAGATTTATAATTTTCTTATGATTTCGAAAGTCCTTCGTCAAAGAGAAAGGCCATATAATCTAGTCCCACAGTAAAAACAAACAGGCCATAGAGGTTAAAAACAAACCGCCCTGGTTGTGCTGCAAACCCGTGTGAAGCCAGTTAGCTTGATGCTAGCTCCGTACTCACAGAGTGCTCTGGACGCCGTTGGTGTTCGCCTGGCTCAGCACCTGCGTCAAAGCTTTCGGCCGCAACATTTCAGTCTCCTAAACTCCTAATAAAACCAGTTTTATTAAAAATACTCGGCAGATTCTAAACAAAAACCCTTAAAGAGTCGCAAACAGAGCGCAAGACACAGTCAAGTCAGCTGATTGGACTGTCATCTCGCGCTTCCTGTTTCTCTCCCAATGCAACCTGGGTAATTGAGTCTTTTCTAAAACCAAAGCCGGAAAACAGTAAAGGAGCGGCCTCCTTTCTGTTTCTACTGATTTTAAGGGTTTATTGTGCAGACTTTCTTACTAAAATGTTTTTCTATTTTAAAATAAACCCCAATAAAGACATAAAAATTATGTTAATGTTATTTTCATGATTATTATTTTGTGTTGACTTTATAAAAAGCATGATGTGCACAAGAGATACACGATTATCTGCAAGTCTTTGAGTTCGGTTTGTTTTCTGGACCTCACAGCGAATAACTTACGAACAGAAAGGTAAGAACAGATATTAAATAGTTTTGCAGATGCTTGGAGGTCATAAGTTTTGATAACAAACTTTAAAAAAACCCAGCTGAAACTCTCGAGTTGCTTTAAATCAAGACTAACAACCCCCCTGTTTAGACTTGCTTTTGGACTATAATAAATTAAACATTGACCAACATATTTGATGTAAATGCCTTTAGTGATAGTACTCATCAAATTAAGAAGAGTATTTTCACATTGTTGGCCTTAAAAACATCTTGTTTCTGCTTTCTGCTTACTCTGGATGTCATGTTTTATAACAGGCTTATTTATTAGCTCAGTGTATTTCTCCACTTCCTTATGGTTTCCCAGTGGGAGGAGGAGATAACAGGTTGGTAACATTGACCTGACACTCCTGAGCAAATTCTTCTCCACGTCGCTTCAACCCAACCATCACTGTTTTCCTTTGTAAAAGAAGACCAGGCTGTTCTTTTCCTTTTTGGATTTCTGCTGTTGAACTGGATCTAAGTGGTGAGTCTCTGTGGATTAAGTCTGCCACAAAAGAAATTAGTTTAAGTATACTTTTTCGTCAAACTATAAAACAAAATAAATGAAAGTATATCATAACCATGTAGAAAGCAAATTGTGTGTCTCTTTTTGTTTGACTAGTGTGAGGCCTGACTCACCGATACACAAATACAAGAAAAATCAGCTGCCTTGGACAGAAAAATAATATTCTGGTTCATGTAAACGTGATATAGCCAAAGGTTAAGAAGAGCTTGTTTGGCCAAATATTAGACCGGATCATGTTGCTGTAAAACTACCATGAACCCCTCAGTATGCAGGAGTATTCTACTGTTATAGATGCTGGATCCATTTAAAGGAAAATATCCCAAACAAGGAAGCAAATGACTGAAAAACATAAAATCAAGATGTTGCAATGGCCCAGTCAAAGTCCAGATCTCAGTCTGAGTAAATGCTGGAGTGAAAGCTGAAGCCTGCAGTTATTTACAGACAAAAAGTGTTGGTTCCTTTCTGTCAAATAAAATATTATTTGCTCACCACTTGATATTTCAGACCTTTGTCCCAAGGAGTGAAATTTGTTCCTTTGAGCGATCTTTGTTGTGAAAAAACTTTTCCTGGAAGGAGCTCCTCCTCTGAGTTGCAGTTTCTAAAATTAAATGAAATTTTTTTAAAAAAATTTCATTTAACTTTTATTTAACCAAATGAGTTATCAGGAACAAATTCGTACTTACAATAACAACACTTTACGGTAAACTGCAAACATTAGCAAAAAAACTTTACAGATACAAAGGCATGGAATAAAATTAACATTAAATTTTAAAATGAAACACATGCAAGTTTCAGACAGCATCTTCTTTAAAATACCTGTACCCACTCAGCTCCTTCAGACTAGTCAGCAGCAATTAGCAAACACCTGGTGGAACTCGTTATAGGAGCTGCTTCTCAGTGCAACGCTGATAAAATGTTAATAGAGGAGCCATGTTGAGTTGACTTCGTGATGGGCGGAGTTTCAGAAAGAGCAGGAGGTTTTAAAGAGACAGAAGCCCAATTTTAAGGAGTTAAATTACAAAGTCAAGTTCTTTTTAGTCATATTTTAATACATATAGTATTTTTATGAGCGGTGAAGGCAACGTAATTGTGCTATAAAATGTGCCTGGGAATTACATAACACTGGCTCTTTAAGTATGAAACATTCTTAGAAACATTTCATTTTGTTTCTCAAATTATAGTTTGGAGACATCATCACCAAACTCTTCAGTCCTCTTTCTGTAACTCTGGTTTGCTTCTTCAGCCATCAGGGAAGATGTCTGTGACGATGGCGAGAAATGACGGAGTAACGGTTTTTACGGTGCAGTCCGACCCGCAGAGCCGCTGGCCTCCAGTGTGTCAGATCCTGAAGAGCCTCTGCTACAGTCCGCTGTGCTGCTCTCTGTCTCCCCATGTGAGGAAGATCCAGGGAACGTCCTCCTCAGTCCTCGGCGTGAGTTTCAGCTTCAGGTTCTGGTTGAGCTGTTGCTTTGCATTAGTTGAAGGAGACAAACAACACCAGTCCCCTCTGTGCTTCATCATCCACAGGCCATGCAGATAATGATCGGACTGCTCAATCTGGGCTTAGGCGGAACACTGCGCAGCAGTCCAGACACCTGGTTCCTGAATTCTTCTGAATTTCCCTACTGGTTGGGAGCGCTGGTGAGCAACCTGCTGCCGGGTTAATCATAAAGTGTTAAAGCAGAAGAGCAAAGTCACAGATGTTAATTTGACATCACTGGTAAAGTCAACGTCTTTCACTTTATTGCTGATTTGATTGCATATCATTATGAGGAAGCACAGAGTTTACAACAGGGTGTGATTCAGCGCTAGCTGATAGAAACTCTGTGAGCAAAACTTCGTCAAATAATGTCGAGAAAACACAATTCTGCGATTGCAGTGTGTCCATTAAATAAGAAATGCAATAAGAATCAAATGTAAATAGGTCTTTTCATGCGATAACTTATTAAAACACATGCCACGCCTTGATCCTGTCAGCTTCTTCTTTATGGTCTGCACCAGTGGCAGGACTCGGATGTTGGTCACAGTTTTATGGTCAGCAGAAATTGTGTTTCAACTGAATTGCACAATTTGACATTTTGAAAATAAATTTACTGAATGGAAACACCAAATCGCCAGCTTGTTCTCTGATAAGTTTTGGCACTAGTATAAAGTTTTTTTTTTTAATGTAAACATTGTTTTCATGTCACACAAGTCACATGATCAACAACCAGATGTTTTCACTTGTGCAAACCACGAAGATGAAGACGACAGGAAATGGTCAGATGATGATAACAAGGCATGTTTTTTAATAACTTAATATTTTTGAAATTTCAATTTGCACAATGCTATGGTCAGTGGAAATGCTGCTGTTATGCATAAGAGCTGCAACATTTGGAAAATATGCATTTGAGATGCAGTTCTTGAATGTTATGATGCAGATGTCAGCGTTACTCCCTTTGAAATTCAGGATGTGGTTCCTAAATTAAAGGTTTATCTAAAAAAGAAAATATTGTGAAGCAAACTCAAGGAAATTGCTCTTTGTTGATAAAAATGACCTTTGTTGTGTTTGGTTCCTTCTTTTTGTAGTTCATCACTTTTGGAGTGATGTGCGTTTTATCTGAGAAGTTCCCAAGCCTGTGCCTGGTGAGTCGTTCAAACTTTATAAAACTGACAGGAAATCTACACTGAAAACTCAGAGGGAACTTGTTTAATCTGAGGAAGTTGTTGTTGATAACATAAAATAGACAAAAAGTGTTGCAAATATTGCAGTAACATTAATAATGTTCCTTCGTTTAGTTATTTTAATATTCAGACTGTTTTATAGAAAATGTTTTAGTTATAGTTAAGGACTTGCACAGATGGACACTAGGTGGTGCTAGAGAGCCTGCCAAGTTTCCTTTGGAGGAAAAGCACCTTTTGAAATATGTATTTTTTTTATTTGTGGATCAAAATAAAATTTTTCTAGTTGTAGTTTTTCTGTTTTATGACGTCATCATAGTGGCAGAGGTCAGTGAGTTTCCTGGCAGCAGGAGCTGAGTTGGATTTTTGTTTTCATGAGAAAATGGAAAAATTGAGAAAAATTGAGAAATCAAAATGTGCAAAAATAATGTTTTTATTTTATAACCTGTAATTTTGGTTACTAAAGTGGTTACTTTTTCAAAAATTGGTGAAAAAAAACAGTGGTTAGTTTTTTTAAAGAAGTCATAGCTGTTTTATATTGATATATTTTATTCAAATTCGTGAAACTTATCAATGTTTTAAATGAAAACTTTCGTTTGAGTCGTAATCTTGTGATGCAGGTCATCCTGAACGTGATCCTGAACCTGGTCGGAGTTGGTTTCGCCATAGCAGCCATCGTGCTCTACAGCATCTACATAGCACACCTTCCTATGTGGTGGTGGTGGAATTGCTCCAACTCCAGATCCAACTACTTCCCTACTCCACCTTCACAGAGTGAAACTGAATTCTTTAGCCAGATGTGTCTCGAAGGCAGTTTGTTGTCTAAGGTGAGCAAATGCATGTTTTCCAATGTCACCAGGAAGGTTAAATATGGCTGCATTTCAATTACAAATGTGTGCAAATCTTTGTTCATTTTCTGCTAATGTTGAAAAAAAAAACACAATTCTGCAGTTATGGTACTTATATTAAATGAGAAATTAAAATACACATAAACAAGTTTGTTGAGGCGAAAACAAGAATCGGGATGTTGGCGCCAGGGATGTTGGTTTTGCAAGACAAATCAATTTTGATGAGGCTGAAAAAGCCGTCCTAGCAAAAAACCTTTTATCAAAAAAATTTGTTTTCCTAAATCGACTTGTTTGCATTAAGTGAGTTTAATTTGTATTTCCGTTGCCAAATTTAATATTTCTAAAGTAAATTTGCTTATTGGAATTGTGGCGATTTTGAACAATTCTCATTTTTCCATTAAAATGCAAATTGGAAAAACTTTTTTGAGTCACACGAGTCACATGATCACTTCTGGTACCAACCACAAAGAAGACAATGACAGGAAGTAGTTGGAGGACGAAAGGGAAAGGGAAGCGCCGCATGTTTTTAATAATTTATTGTGTGAACAGATTTATTCACATGGTTTTAATTTTGTTTCTTATTTAATAGAAATTCTGCAATTGCAAAATTGTGTTTGTTTTGACATTGGCAAAATATCGACATTCGTAATGAAAACGCAGATAATATCAGGCTGACACTAACAGGCTGTCAGGATAACTTATTGGTGACCAATTACTGAAACTACTTGACATATTTAGGTGCTTTTGGAAACAAATATCCATAAAGCAGCAGTCCACTCAACAACACAAAGTCGCGAGAATGTTTTGTGATCCGATCAGGTGCTGCTGATAGGAATGAATGTTGTGCTGATCGTCCTGTCCATCATGGAGCTCTGCGTCGTCATCAGCACCGTCGTCCTCGGCATCAAGACCCTGAGGAACTCAGTGCAGGAGCAAAACACGGTAAATCCACACAAACTAAACCAGTCAGTTACTTTACAGGTAAACAAGAAGAAAACAGGCTGACTGGTTTCTGCTGCAACCAGCAGCTACGTCTATGTTTGAGATGTGAAGCTAAAAGATGAACTGGAAGAAAACAGAAGCGAATCGGATCAGGATTTCCTCTCTGTGTGTTTGATTTCTTTATATTGAGACATTTTTTTCTCTGCTGTTTTTCATCAGGATGCTGAAAACACCAAACCTCTGATGGAGGCAGTCTCCTCTGATTCCACAGCCTAATGACCTCTGCTCCTTTCAAACTTTAAGTGTTAAAAGTAAAAGCTGATGTTTTTCTTTTCTTTATTACTTCGCTGTTGCATTTGTATAACATAAAAAAACAATGATACATTTTGGTCCTTCTTGTTGACAGAACCTCATTATATTTCTTTATTTCTCTGCCTATTTGTGAAGTAGCATTCATTTAGGGAAGCATTCCTCTAAGGAAGTGCAGATATCATGACACTGATTACCTGCCCTGCACAGTTAATCATTTGCTGAAGTCAAATAAATCTGCTGAGATGGAGTTTTTGTCATGATCTTTCTGTCTATGCTATCCTGTTTTTTAGTCAAACTCATTAAAACACTGCATGTACTGTAAAATAAAGATTCATGTACCTCAATTTGCATAAATGTTTATTTTTAGATTTACATATTTGTGTGGGTTTAATGCATAAACATCTCCAGATGATTCTAATTCTGAAAAATAGTTTTTATTGAACATAAACCATGTTTAAAAATGAATAAATGATAAAAAGAGACATTAAAATAGCTTTGGTTGTTTCTTTGTCAGGAATCTGAAAATCATACAAGATTTTCAGAATATGTTAATTTTGCAATCTTTCTAATATTCACCTTTTTTTGAAATATTGCACATGTGAAAGCAAAGTGAACTCCAGGAGGATGAATACTGAGTGATGAAAAAATGTGAAAACGTTCATCAGGACACCTGAGGAGGTTTGTTGAGCAGATGAAATCAGTGCTGGTCCAATTTACTAGCTGGGTTGATGTTTCTTCATGGGAGTGAACAGTGATAGAACAAAAGAATGAAAGAAAATGGAGCAATATTTCATTATTTAATGTATTAAATGAACCAAAGAGTCACTTTGGACTCCAGAGCTTCTCATTTCAGAGCCCTGATCCAGAAAATATAAAAACTGTGACATTATCTCAATGCAGCTGCAGCTAAAAGTGCAGCACTTTAATTTTTAATCCATTGTTAAAGTTAAACTGTGAAGGAAAAAAGATGGCTGCATTATGCCAGACGTTCTCCAACCAGATCGATCCACTTTTCTGTCAGTTTTTGTCAAAAACACAATGAATAAATCAGAAACCTAAGTAATGAGCTACATTTGATAATTTACTGTCAATCAATAATAGAAAGTTGAGAGTTATTATCTACTGTACTGTGTTACTATTTCTGGCACCGAGGTTTGGATTGTTTGCGGCGCTGCCTGCTGATGCATCGATGGTTTCAAGCACCAGGACTGATGAGAAGGATTTCCTTCAAGTCTTCTGTAGAAACATTGTCAACCTGCTGACACAGAAACATTCACAATGAATACTAATACTGGTAAAGTTAGGGATTTACCTCTTACAACACAACTGATTAATAAATGCAACTTCTCTGAAGTCCATCTTTTAATAATGGTCCAGAAGAACAAATCAAATCATTTGGTACTTGGAAGTTAAAAATGCATTAATCAACAAACAGTTTAAAGTTTGTCTTTCTACAAACAGAATGATTATTTAAAGAAAGAATATTTCAGACGAAATTATTCTACACTCAAATGTGAGTCTAGCAACGTGGCTTTTACATCTTTGAAAAGCAGAAGTGGAGCCTCCTGCCCACCCAGCAAGTGGTTTCTGGATGGTGAGTCAGCATCTAAACATTTGTCTTTTCCAGTAGCCATTGGACAGCAAATACGGCGGTAAAGCCAGCTGACCAAACTGCTGGAGCTCAGCTGCAATTGCTAGATGACGGTGTGGGTTTCCAGTTTACTGGGTAATAATGCAGAGCCTATTGATTTGTGAGGTTACGTTCCAGAGGTTTTAGAAACTGCAAACAGTTGAACTTATTGCCAAAAATGGTAGGATGTTTTATTTTTAAGTGCTTAGGCTTGAGACTCATAAAAATGTTCAAAATGTGAGTTTTGCATAATTCATTACCTCTTCCTCCTTCACCTCACCAGACAGGAACCCGATGCCAAGAGCAGCAAACGAAATACTGACAACCAACAGCAGAACAGCCAGGAGAATCAAGGTTCTGTCCAGAGATGTCAGTAGGTTCTGAGAACGAGAACAGACAAAGAAAACTGATTCTTTTCATCAGGACTTATAGCTGAATCGCTGCGCTCCGCCGTTTACGCCTGGACCTGCTCACCTGATCGAAGGCGGCCATGTTTCTGCAGCTGTCGTCGTGGCGACCGGGGTCAGAACCGGGGCGATCGCAAACCCAGAGCAGAGAGGAGTTGTTCAGGTCGATGGCGAACATCACGATGCCAGTGATGGAGAAGATCGCACCAACAATGTTCAGGAACACAGTGAAGCCCACCTGGGAAGACCATCACTTTATATCTGTAATACAGTCTGAGATATAAACTACATACATAGATATATGTATATTTTATATATTTTATTGGTATCTCCTCATGTTGGAATACTTTAAAAGAAAAGGGTGCTCTTCTGACCAGCAGGCAAATCCAAATGATTTTAATCCTTCTTTTCATAGACTTCAAAGAAATCTCTATATTATTCTGCACAAGCTTTTTTGGAAAGTTTTTCCTCTTAAAGGGAAATTTTCCTGATCACTGTCACACATTGATCCCCAATAAGAGGCATTGCTTAAACTTACTTTTATTAAATGTAAATAAATGGTTCAGTGTTTGGAAGTCTCTCTATAAGACTCTGTGAAGGTGATATTATCGGGTTTTTTAACTAATGACGGTTTCACTCACCAAGCAGGAGGAAGGAAACCGACCCGCTAAAACCGTCATGATTCCCGTTACGATAAACTGACAAGAAACAAAGTTCAAAACTTCAGTAACAAGAAATTACAAACACAACAAGAAACCCAGAAAATCCTGAAAAACTTCAACGACGGCAAATTTATGCCAAAAAACTTAAACATTTTGATATTAATCTAAACTATTTTCTGAAACAACAACAAAGTTTGAAAAGGCACAAATGTGCAAATAAATACTTAAAATGTTGAAGAGTAATCTCAGACTTTCCCAAAAAAGAAACAAAGAACATTTCTGAGTTTAAAAAGTTGAACATTTCCATGTAGAACATTTTTTACTTTTTCAAGTTTCCAAAGCCAAACATGTTCAACGTTAAACTCTGCATAACTCTGAATGAATCAGACATTTCTGCGTTTTTCTGGCAGTAATTTATTCCTTTCTCCTGTCTACATTGGCCCTCCATGCCATCATAAGCTGACTGCTTAAACATGGCAAGAAATAAATAACCGAGCCAAAATAAGCAAAAAAGAGAGATCCTTTCAGATAATTAAGGCTTGTTTTTGGAAATATAAAGATGCATTTCACAGTGTTTTGGTGGAGAGTTAAGCTCAACTGATAAATAAAAATAAAAATGTGCTACATACATCCCCTGGAAAGAGAGAAAGAAAGAAAACTATAAACAGTTTGTTACCACAGCGCCCAACCAGTAAGCAGCTCCCAGGCTGGTGAAATCCCCCAGACGAGTGCTGGTTCTTCCCGGTCCAAGGCCGATATTAAGCACACCCACCATGATCTGAACAGTCTGCAAAAGAAATAAAACCCATGATCCCTGCATTGAGGTGAGATGTTTCCCCGGCTCCTCTCACCCCGGCGGCTGCAGCCCAGCAGGTCTGCACTCCCAGTTTCTTCAGGCAGCAGCAGCAGAGCGCCTTCAGGATCCGACACGGTGATGGGAACATGTTCCCACACCGTCTGGATTCTTCTTCTTCTGGATTAAAATCAGCAGAGATCTGGACTCACAGCTGCAGCGTGAGGTGGAAACGATTCTGCAAAGGAATGTTTTAATCTAAAGAGAGCAAACTGAGTCACTGGTTTGCATCAACAGGCCTATCAAATGCAAACATGAATGAACAGTCATGGCTATTCTCTGATACTACAAGGTAGAAAAGTTAAACTGATTTCTTAACCTTTCTTTTATACATAAAAACCCATTTGTTTCTCTCTTTGCGTTTTTCTCCCTTCACACATTTTAAAATCTACAAAAGTTAAAACTTTCCTGAGAGATTGTGACTTTGTTAAAAGATAAAAAAAGCTATATAGCTGGAAAGATAAAAAGGATTTTGTCAAATTAAAAGAAGCTGCACAGTTAATCAAACCCCAGGCATCGATCTGATGCAACATTTGATTGGATGTCATATTTTAAGTGTCATGCTAATGGTGACCAATCCCAATGTGAAGTTTTAGGGACAGAAATGCTAAAGTTCAGTGATAAAAAAGAAAAGAGTCAAGAGAATGTAGATTAACTGATTTTTATTTATTGGAAGGAAACGTTTTACTTTTACTCGAGTAATAAAGGAGGTCTGGTGTTTGGAAAATTCCTCATGATAACATCTGAGCTGCTCTAAATGAATTCACTGGAGAGCTTAAATCATTTTGTAAAAAGTAACAACATTTCAAACACTTGAGGTTTGGTGCCTTTATTTCTTCATAGACTTAAAACAGCAGAAATTTATATTTTACAATCGAAAAGCCTCCAAAAGACAGAGATGGAGAAAAAATGTTAAATCTCTTAGCAAAATTAGTTATAAAGCAGTTTTTTACTGTCTTTGTGTCTCTGAAATTAGGACTTATTTCTCCCAGTTACATATTTTTTGTGAACCTAGAAGCCAGACTGATTGAGAGTCTTAATCCAGCTGAGATGTTAAAGCAGAGCTGATATGTATTTTATGTTCGGATAAATCAAATAAAACCCTAAAATTAAACAAATAACACAAGAAATTCAAAAAAGTAAATTTAACAGCAGCTGAGCTCACAGAAATATTAATGATAATTTGAATATCTGTTATTATTCCTGTGAGCTCAGCTGATAAAGAAATAATATATTATTAAACTCATTTTGTTTTTGGGCCATATAAAAAATCTGAATGTTCTTAAAGGGCCGGCTGTGCCAGAATATATCAATAAAACCAATTGAACTGTCAAAATGTCAATAAATATCTGTTCCTCCAGGATTTTGATTGTTTTAGGGTTTTTTTGCATCAAAATTATAGATTTTGTTGTGCCAATTTGGAAGTGAAAGAAGCGTGTATAATATTTGCACTAACATATGACCTTAAATGTGACTTTTTAATACTCGCCGTATCGATCGTGGACAGTAGCTTGACATCAAGTGAAACTGAGGCAGCAGTCACTGAAACTCAATGTTTGTGATCAATTTGAGAAAACAAAGTGGAGATTTATAGACTTTGTTTAAATTTTGCAGATTTGTAAAAAACTGGAAGGACTTATTGATGTAATTTGGAGTCTAGACGCGACATGAAGAGCAACGTGGGGCCAATGTGGCCCCCAGGCCTTTGAGGCCAATGTGGCCCCCAGGCTTTTGAGGCCAATGTGGCCCCCAGGCCTTTGAGGCCAATGTGGCCCCCAGGCCTTTGAGGCCAATGTGGCCCCCAGGCCTTTGAGGCCAATGTGGCCCCCAGGCCTTTGAGGCCAATGTGGCCCCCAGGCCTTTGAGGCC